GTTACCTAAAAATTCCTCTACAGATACGTGTGTATATTCTTGCATTTCACAGGAGTGTCGTATTTCAGAGATGTACAGTATTGAAGGTAGATTTCTATGACCTTACCGTACCTGTATCAGAAGTAGAATTTCTAGGTGTTCCCCCAGCTCCTTTCCCCTGCTCCTGACCTTTGTCTATGCTCTCCCTGCTCCTTCTCTCAAGACTTCGTGGCTCGCACTTCATGGTGTGAATCTGCAGCTCACTACCTACTTCAAAGGCATCTTGGTCCCAATGCCAGCCACAGGGGAGAGGAGAGTCCTAGCAACTCAAGGGGAAGGGGATATAGAAGAAAGGGGCACAAAAAAGACCCCGTCCGCTTTCAGCCTGACAGCTCTCCAGCCCCTGCACACAGGTCACTGATCTGGCACTAGAGCCATTGCGGCTTCTCATGGGGACCCATCACGTTGCTATGGAGACTCTCCATGCCAAAACACCATGGCTGCCAGCACGCAGATTTTGCAGCTCGGTGCAGGGAGCTCTCACTGAGCACTGCTCGGAGTGGCAGAGAAGAAGGGGAGACGTAAACCTGGACATCTACCAGCTCAACAGAATGTGTATAACATGCTTAGTAGTGCTGTCTGCACAGGCAATCCTTTGGATACATGCATATGCTTTCAAAGAACCTGCATGCACATGTCACAACATTAGAGAAGACCTGTGTATGTATACACATTTGATTAATTCCTGGAGTAGCTTCTAGATGAAGATGAGGATGGAGCAAAGTTTGCAAACTGGCCCTCCATCTTTACAGAAAAATTCCATGGAACTCTGAAGAAGAAAACACAGAAACATCTTCTTTTTTGCAAAAGCTAAACACTGACATGCATATGTTACAAAACTGATTCAGCATAAAGAACCATTTCCCACGCTGATGCAATGATCAGCTCTTGCTCTGTAACAACATCCAAACCTGTAACTGTGAAGCAGATCTGAGATACTGTCATGGTTTAACCTCGGCTTGCAGTAAAGTACCACACAGCCACTTGCTCACTTCCCCCCCTCCTCTAGTAGACAAGTAGAATCAGAGGAAAAGACAAGGAAGGTTGTAAAATTGAGATAAGAACTATTTAATAACTGAATCTAAATTAATATTATAGTGATACTAATTACATGTTACTAGTAGTATTGTTAATGTTATGAAAATGTTACAAATTATACAATTGCTTACCACCTGTTGACTGATATGCAGCAAGGTCACGAGAAGAGAGCCAGAGAGCCCAAGAACCAGAGCCTGAGAGCGATCGCACCAGAGTCTGAGCGAGCCCCACAAGCGACAGCACGACTGAGAAAGCCAACCAACCCACCAACTCACTAATGAACAGAACTAATAACGAGCTAAACAAACAAGCAAGTGAGCTAGCTATGGTCCCCCAGCCCATTCCCTGCTTATGTACTAAGCATGATGTGCTATGGAATGAAATACTCCTTTGGTTAGTTTGGGTTAGCTGTCTGAACTGCATCTCCCAACACTACTTGTAGTGAGAAAGCTGGGAACATAGCTGCAGTATCAGAAGCAGAGAAAGACCTTGAATTTGGTGCAAGTACTCCTTAGCACCAACTAAAAAAACCCTTATCAGTACTATTCTCAGGGCAAATAAAAAACCATACCCTCGTAACAGCTACTGTGGAGAAAATTAACTCTGTCCTGACTAAAACCAGCACAAATACACATACAGCAACCAGCTCAGAAAGCTAAGGACTAGGTGGACCAGACTGAGCTCCTCCCTGGACTTCTGCACTGAAGTCTTTCCCTTGGCTGCTTGCAAACAAATCACAACCGATCACATTCCACCCAGTGACAACTTCAACAAGGCTATTTCCCTGAAAAAACTTTTCAGAATCACTAATCCAACAAAACAGGCTCAGTAATAAACAGACCACGCACACCCCAACCTCCCACATCACACTGAGTTCAGGCTCTCCTAGCTCAGAAGAGGCAGGGTCAAGTCTACCCGCATGATCTGGACCAATGCGGAGTAACGTGCAGGGCGAGGGAGGGGAAATAAGCCTTACGTCTGCCGTTGGAGGTAGTCTGTAGCGTCATTTCCGGGGAAACTTGTAACGACCTCAAGCAACAGGAATATCCGGTTCAGTGTTGGGGAAGCTTAGTCTGTATTGTGTAGTTTGTGGTAAAGATGGCGCTGTGGTTTTCCTCCTTTCAGGGTCTTGGTTCGGCTGAAGAGGATAAGGAACGGGAATTGACTCTCATATCTATACAGCGCCTGTCGGAAACGCAGGTACATCTCTCCCCGTGCGCTTGTCATACTGTTTTCTTGTTCTGCTGAGTTTGTATGGGGCTCCCTCCGTGCGCTCCTTCCTTCCTTCTGGCGGGGAGGGTCTTTGACTGCACCTACCAGTGGGGTGGGTTTCCGTTGCTCGACCGAACCTTAGGTGGAAGCATGCGTGATTCTTACCGCTGGGGCATTCTGTGTTGCCAGTGCCTGCACCTGCAGGGTTTGTGCCTGGTTTCAGCTCTCTGGGTTCTCGGGGAAGGGCTTTTGACCATAGGTTTACAGAACCAATTTACAGAGAACCTGATCTTTTTTGGGCTTATACACGTGTACTTTGCGCTGTGTGGTGTAAAACAGAAAATGAAACCACTGAAGAGGTGCAAAGATGTGAGTCTGAGAAGTGATTAAACTTTTTTTTTTAAATAATCACCGCGTCTGGTGCATTGGGGGTGTAAACAGGCATACATAAGCGCATGCTTATCTGTTTAGCTAACCTAGGACGTGTCAGAAAGGACTTGTGTAGTAATGCTATAGGTAATATTGGAATCTGTCACCAGCCCACGGTTACAGGCAAAACAGTCTCAACTCAGGGGAATTTTAGTTCATTTAAGTTATTCCCAACTGATACAAACTCAATTACTGATTTAGGTATTGAGGGGGAGAAAAAAAAACCAAAACCACAATTAAACAAAGGGAAACATCTTTTCTCCCCCCCTTCCTCAGGTTCAACTTTAATTAAATGTGGCCCTGCTTCTTAGTCTCAATTTCTGTTATTTTTGCTGGGTTATGATCTGGTGATAGGTGGTACAAAGGAGGTTGGGGTAATCTGCATAATAGTTTCTTTCTGTAGCTTACTTATTTTCTTTCACCACCCTTTGCTGCTTATTAATTTTTCTCTGCTCTAGTGTGGGTGCCTCTATGGGTTGCAAGCCCTTTGACCATGTGCCTGCTTCAGTATGGCTTAACCACAGGATGCAGTCCCTTTGGGGCATAGCTGCTCTGGTGTGGAGGAATTCCTTTCAGAATTGCATCTCTATCTTGTACCTATATTGTCTCCATCCATTTCTCCTTCTACCAGCAGCTGCCACTCTTACTTAAATATGTTTGAGCAGAGGCACCAGGTGCACCAAGTTTTGTCATGCAATGGATTGTTTACGTAATTTTCAGAGCTGGTTGGAACCAGCTATTACTGGCACATAGTAATATGTGGCCTCTTCCTGCACAGGCCACCCCTGCAGCCCCCTGCTACCAAACCCCTTTATTTTATGCCCAATACATTCCACCTTTTACCTCTGTGAAACATATTTAAGAACTGAACATACATCCATTATAAACTCTACTTCAACATCATCACAATTTTAATATACTTACATCATAAACTCCACTACATACAGCAAATTACTACTGCTTTCAGCAAATTACTTGGGTTGCCAAGGGAGTGATGTCTGGGTCTGAGTATGTGCAGCAACACTGGGGTCAGTAGAGTGCTGTAATCGGTTCCCTCCTGTGCAAACCACACTTCATCCTATTCCAAAACCGCAAAGTTTTCCTGTCCCATCTGTCCATCTGCAGTAGTTAAGAAAGTCAGTCCTGAGGATGGCAGGGGCAGTAAGGCCAGTGGCAGCAGGTAGGGAGTGCCAATCTTGTCTATTCAAACTGAGGCTCCCTTCCACTAGAGCTAGGCATGTCTCTCTTCCAGTTGTTCCATGAATGACTACACTTCTTCACTGCTACACAATGAGGGCAATAAGGCAGCTAGTGGAGAGCCCATGCTGGAGCAGGGTTTGAGCAGGAGCTGCAGCTTGTGGGGGACTCATGCTTGAGCAGCCTTTTCCTGAAGGACTGTACCCCATGGAACAGAACCATACTGGAGCAGTTCTTGGAAAAAATGCAGCTTGTGGGAAGGGCCCCATGCTGGAGCAGGGGAAAAAGTGAGGAGGAAGAAGTGCCAGAGAGGAACTGTTACAAACTGACTGTAACCCCCATTCCCCATCCCCCCAATGCTACTCAGGACAGGGAGGAGGAGACAGAAGAGTCAGGAACAATGGAGTGAAGTTGAGCTTGGGAAGGGGGAGGGGAACGTTTTCAGTTTTGTCTTTTGTTTCTTGCCATCCTACTTTATTTTTAACTGTCAATAAATTAAGTTAATCTTCACCAAATCGAGTCTGTTTTGCCTATGTTGGGCCTGTAACAATGGTAGTTGGTGAGCAATCTTCCTGTCTTCATCTCAACCCACAAGCTTTTTTTCATCTTATTTTTTTCCCCTGTCCTGCTGAGGAGGGGTGTGAGAGAGCAGCTGGATGGGCACCCTGCAGCCAGCCAAGGTCAACCCACCACAGTAATATTAATCCATGCTGGAAGGTAAGTAGTAATAGTTACTCTGTTGTTATAATTTGACATCATAAAGCAGATGCTTTCTTCTCAGAACTATGACTTACAAGTATTCTGCTATTTTGGTTATTGTTAATTTTGCAGAATAGCCAGAGGGGAGTGAGGAAAATCCTTTCATCTGCAAAAGAATTTTATGATATGCAGTCTGGAGATTGTATTACTGGTGGCAATACTCGATCCATAATTCTGTAAATGTCTTTCAATTAAGTTTAGAAAGCTTGAAGTAGATGTTTCCTTTAAAAATCTTCTAGCTGCACAGTATCATGTTTAGTCACTGTTGTGAATATAATATTGCTTTTAAGATGCCTCAGTGTTCTATTTGGGAGTCAAAGCCTTCTGATTATTATATGATCCATAAATTCTATCAGTTTTCCTTCCATAAACAGCATGTTTGTTTTCCACACAGACTTATAGTCAAGGGATTGAATTTATCTGTCAAAACCAAAAAGAGTTTGTGAAGAGGTCTGTAGAATCCCAATGGAATCTAGCAGAAGCCCAGCAGAAACTTGGTAGTTTAGCACTGCACAATTCAGAATCCACAGATCAGGAATATGCTAAAGCACAGACTGAAGCTTCAGAACTGAGACAGAGAGAAGAAGAGTGGAGAAGAAAAGAAGAAGTGCTAATACAGAGGGAACAACAGAATCTATGGAATACAGATTCTTTTAGTACGGAGGTATTTAGTAAGGTATGGCATGTATAAATGTTTATGAAAACAATTATAAGCCTTTTTTATTCCATTTATTTCTCATCTTGAGTGTTTTCTATATCTAGTATATTGCTTATTGTAATGTGTTGAATGTTTTTATTTCTTATTTTGCTCTGTTAAAGGGGACATGTTGCATTGATAACATGAGCGTGTATGACACTTCTCTTTTAATTGGGAATCAGAACTTATATTTGTCCCTTATAGCAACTGTTGCCAAAACCAAGGATGAGCAGTAGTTCTTCACATGAAGTTTGCTTCTTTGTTATGCCAAATTCTCACATTTGAAACATGCAGTTTGCCTCTAATAACATTAATTTGTTAATACAGATTATTTTAGCACAAACTGTCTTCATAGTAAATGCCAGTTTTGTTTTCAGCACTTAACTTGAATATGAACCATTAATGCATGGTTTTTCTTAATTTCACTGAGTTAGGTTCATCAGGGCTAGATGGTGTAGATGTTTCTCACTGTTTATAGATCAAGTTCCTACTAGTGTGCATAACTTTGAGATAGATTATTGCTCAGAAGAAGAATATGATAAGGCTTTTTCACCCTATTAATAATTACGCAAGCTGTGTTTTGGTAAATAACCTTCTTGAGTATATTAAATGTATACATGTGTTTGCTGGGCTATTCTTAAAACTAGAACATTGCCTTTTAAATATTAATGACTTAAATTAATCCTGTAGTTCAAAAAAGGTATATGTGGAGATTCTATGATAGTTTTTTCTTATCATTAGAGTATTATTAGTCAATATAAAAGAAAAGAAGTAGAAGATGAAGATATATCTAAATCATTTACACAGAAGCATGAACAAAAGATTAGATACTTTGGTAAGTATGTTGCTTCCAACATTTTGCGGTTTAACCTCCTGTAGAATTTGTGTGTATTTTTTTTTCATCATTGTACAAAATGGATGCTAACAAATGAAACATCTGGCAAGGAGAGTATCTAGAGTCTTGTTTCTCAGGACAGGAGATGTGTCATCATAACAAATAACCATGTAAAAGTAAAGGAAACTGTAAATTGCAGAAGTCAGTTCCTATGATCAATGAGAACTTCTTGAGTCAACATAGAACTGAAAAAATTTTTCAAGTCATGAAAACTAAAATTCTAGCAACTTTTTTTTGCTGTTCCATGGGAAGTGATAGGGGCATTTATGGAGATGCAGTTCCTGCATGTAAAAGTGTCTGGGACTGTCTGTACCTGCCTTCTATAAATAGCTGGGGTTTTGCTGTCTGTTAATCTATTGTGGGATAAATGATAAAAGGTAAATATCTGCAAAACAGCTGTTAAGACTATGTAGAGATGGAACCAATCTTTTATTTTTAAAGTTATATGAGTGATAGAAGGGTAAAACTTTGTATCTACTACTGACAAGCAGTAAAATATCACTAATATGTATATTAGGGCAATTAACTTGTACGAAGGACAATGCGGGGAGCTGGCAGGGAAGGTGATCTCACTGCTTGAATTTTGAGTTCTGACTTTCAACCTGCAGCTCTTTCCATGAAGGTAGTTTCATGCTACTTACTACTATTCAGTCTTCTAGTTAACTTTATACCACTGAGTTGGATCTCCTGTTTTGACCTTAATGCTTGAACTTGGTTATAAAAATAGATTTGTATTTCCTAAAACCTAGCCAACCATGCCAGAAGCATATTCATTTTAGACTATGATTATGTTTTCATTTCTATTTGTCTTACTTGCAAGTACTTAAAGAACTTTTCTGTCAAAATCACTGAATGTAAATCTCCATCCATCAACTTAGTTATACTATCAAATTCTTAACAAATAGGTATACATACTACGTTGTTACAGTGTGTGGAAAACCATTTACAGTTAACCTCTTTTTAACACTGCAAGAGATACTGAAATATAGTTAGCTGCTACTGTTAAGATCTTATTTTTATTGTATCTTTACAGTCCGAGCATACCTTATTGGTAATGTTCTTTCAGCATTGGGAGGCGTTTTAAAAACAACAAAAAACTTGAGTTCAGTTTTATTTGCACACTGTTCTTATGAGGTAACAATGAAGTGTGAAGGAGATTGTAGTAGTATGTAAATGTGAATAACGTCTTCACTGCATTAAATCACTTCTCCATATTGAATGTGTTAATTCATGTTGGTTTTTTTTTTTTTTTTTTTAATCAGGTATGCTGAGTAGATGGGATGACAGTCAAAGATTTTTGTCTGACCACCCATATCTTGTATGTGAAGAAACAGCTAAATATCTCATCTTCTGGTGTTTTCACCTAGAAGCTGAACAGGTATGAGGAAGACCTTTAAACTGCTTAAAAGCATGCGGTTTCTCACACTACAGAAAAGCTGTCCAAATTGATGAGCCACTCTTCTCCCTGTCTTCCCATGTCCATGTTGCCATACTGAAGGAAGCCCCCAAAACACATTACTACGTTAGATCTAGTCTCAGCTAATTAAGTCCCTTTGCTTCTGTCAGCATCAGATCTTTTCACTTTAGGAATCAAATGCAAAGATGTTGCTGAATTTTAGATGGAGTTATAAAGACATTTTCTGTAATTATGTAATTTCTCTTTTCAGAAAAGAGCTCTGATGGAACAAATAGCACACCAAGCAGTTGTGATGCAGTTTATTATAGAAATAGCCAGAAATTGTAATGTGGATCCAAGAGGCTGTTTTCGTTTGTTTTTCCAAAAAGCCAAAGTAAGTCAGAACTTGTATAACACAGAGAAACTCTTGATACCCTTGCAAGGGATAAGTGTTCTGAAGGAGCTTTCTTCCTGACAGTTGGAGGTTAAATATGTTATTGACTGAATCAAGCCTATGGGGAAGTGTTGTTTTGTTGGCAGTTCATTCTAGGACGAATGTTTTATGTAATCCTGATCTTGAGAATGGAAGTTCCATGTAGTCTTGTTTAGGCCAGAGGGAAAGCAGAACATAGCATGGGAACTACAGGAGTGTGGAATAGTGAAGTGCTACCTAAATTACAGTGGCAAACATGAATGTATCTAAGGACCGTGTGTCCTGTTTTGCTTATCATAATGCCTCTCTGTGCAGTTCATGGAAAGGCCCAATTCAGAGTCTGTTTCTCTTCAGTCAGTCATAGTTAGCTCTGGAATGCTGAGAGAAGGAGAGAGATATGTGCGAAGACTGAAGCTGCGGTTTGATGTGGGCTCTATATTTTAATTTATACAAGACTGAAGAATCAAGTCATGCTGATCTTAATGCTGCCTTAAGAATTTAATACCCACTTTGATTCATGCTTTGCTTTTGAATTGAGTGCTGCCATGAGTACCTTTTCTCTTAAGGGTTTTGGCTTCTGAGATGGAATAAAGGAAGGGTTAAAATGATATTTGTTTGGTTCTTACATGTTCTCAGATGAATGAATAACTCAATTCCCATACTCATCAAATGCTAAAATGTCTATGGTATGTCAGCTTCATTGGGGGCCCATCTTAAAAGCCTCTATACGAACACACGGAACATGGGAAATAAACAAGAGGAGTTAGAGACGTGTGTTCCCCTGCAGGGCTGTGATAAATTGGCATCACGGAGACGTGGTGGGATGGCTCCTATGACTGGAGTGTCAGAATGGAAGGATACAGGCTCTTCAGGAAAGACAGGCAGAGGAGATGAGGAGGGGGTGTTACTCTCTATGTCAAAAACCAGCTGGAGTGCCTGGAACTCCACCTGAGGATGGATGAGGAGCTGACAGAGAGTTTATGGGTCAGGATTAAAGGGAGGGCAGGGAGAGGGGATATTATAGTGGGAGTCTGCTACAGGCAGACTCTCTCCAGAAGGAAATGGGAGAGCT